ATAATCAAAGAGATCATGCAAGAGAAAATGAACTAAGAGGAGGAATCCCCGTGCCCCATCATGTGCACACTTTGATGCTATTTTTAGAATCATTGATGCTATTTTTAGCTCGTTACCATGCCCGCGCGATAATCATGCTTCCCTTAAATGCCTCGTTTTAGGACACGAAAAGCGCCATATTTCGCTRCGTCCACGACAAAAACACAGGCTTTGTTTACTGCAAGACTGGAAGCTGCCTACCCTCAAGAAATCAACCAATCAGGTTCTTCGCTCAAAATATCTCCAAGCTAAAAATAGCATCAAACTGTGCACATGATGGTTACAAGGCTATATAGGTAGGATTCCTTCTCTTAGTTCATATTCTCTTGGATCATGTCTATGCCAACAAAAGGGTTGGACCAATCCACAAACAGTTGTATTACCCTTAAATGTAATAACACACATAAATGTAATACCCACCATAAATGTAATAAAAATAAACCATAGATGTAATAACACCCACTAAATGTAACAACAGTCAACCATAAATGAAATAATCGACCCCACCATAAATGTAATAAAATTTAACTATAAATGTAATAATCAAAACCCACCATAAATGTAATAACCCCTCCAACCATAAATGTAATAACCAAATATTCCGGAGAGTCAAACAAAGTGTTCAATCAACAAACAGCTCTAAGCAGCATTCGTCAAACACAGTGGGTGGAGTCACTACCACGTGATAGCCTTGTAAACAGCCGTTTTGGATACGGATGGAAGTGCAAGAAACGCCTGTTAACGCAGATTTATCACGTGATTGTGGGATTTGTTTTGTGACAGAGAGAAAATATGATGTAATAGTCCTTAGTTCATAGGTAACTCGATTATCTTCGATATACCGCGGTCACTACCTCACTACCTAACGTAGTTACCCCGAGTAACAAGTAACTTCAAGCCGGGGAGGGAATTGAATTCAGCAGGGAAGAAAGGGCTATTGCATTTCTTTAATTATTCACATTTCCAAAGTACGCATTACGATTCACAAATCGTATTCCTTTTTTTTAAGCTCCCTAATAAACTGGTTGTTATACATCGAATCGAAATATGGCGACCAATTTGAATAACTATTGTTCTGCACTGACTAGAGACTGACTAGCCTCCTATACATGTGAAAATGCTTTTATGTTTCCACGTGAACACGAGGCTAGCCAGTCGCTTGTCAGTGCAGAACAATAGTTATTCAAATTGGTCGCCATATTTCGATTCGGTGTATCGTTTACATTTTCTTCTTCCTGACAAGAGTATTTCACTTTCTTAGCTACGGGGGCATCGTAAAAAGTATCTACAGTTCCTTGCAGAATTTCGGATACCTTCTCTTTAACTTCTTAGCTCGGTCGTTGATACGCGTGGAGTGACTTCACACTACGATGACCTGTCCTTCCATTAGCATCTTGTCTGGAATTCCCTGGCGAGGCCAAGTGTTGCGGTATAGTAGCACGCAGGGAATGATTAGTATGGTGTCCTTGGATTCCTGCCAACTCGCATAGCTTCCAATGTATTCCCCAATGTATTATGGCCGACAGGAACAGAACTGTACCACACGCAATCATCTYTTAAAAACTTCTTTTTCGGCGTCAAATAGAATGGACTCTCTTCAGTGATGGCCGGGCTATTAACAAAATAAGAGAATAATATATACTCTTATAAAAGATTCTGGTAAATCAATTCAGAATATTCAGAACATGAAATTAACTTCTTAAAAAATTATGACTTACCATTTACTAAGATAAAGCTTGTACAGACAGACAGACAGACAGTCAGACAGACAGACAGACAGACAGACAGACAGACAGACAGAAAACTTCATTTATACACGGTAAAAACATCAGTTACATCCTAAATTCAAATAAGTTAAAATTAAAACTGGTTTACATGTTTGCCGTGTGGGAGTCTGATAACGAATAAAATTTGTCAAGTCCTTTTTTAAAATGATTGAGAGACTTTGACTTTCTCAAGTCAACTGACAATCCTTGTACAGCCTTATCAAGCAATGTTCGAGATTTTTTCGGTTTGCATACTGCTCTACCATTTTCGTACGCTTCAATTTTATCTCATTTAGACCACCTTGTTATTCTTCTCGCCAAATGATTTGTAACAGAGTTTTTCGGAATCTCTTGTGGACAGGATCTGGAACTGGCCAAACTTTAACGAACGATGCTTCTTTCCACTCCTCAGAACAATTTGTTTGTCAGGACTGCCTGACTTCATGTCTGCTTTGTTCTCTCTCCAATCTTCCTTGCCCAAAAGTTCTCCCACAACGTCAAAATCAAATTGGGGCACCGAAAAACTTGACTGGGTCAAAAATATTTCATCATCGCTTAAATCATTTTGAGAAGTCATAACGTACTCGCATTTACGTAACAAAGATAACTGATTTAAATTGTTCGCGTTATTTATATCCACTGTCCTTAAGACCTTATATTTCTAAAACGAAGGCAAAAATATGAACATACAATAGAATAGTAATTAAAGAACGTGATAAACTATAATRACATGAAGAAATGCATTTCGTAACAAATTTTCATGCTTACTTACAACTCCTTCTCCATGTAAACACAAATGTGTATGTAATATATACAAAGTATTCCACCGAATTTAAAACAGTGCTTTACAATTATGTCTAGTTGTAATTTCACCATTTTAAAAGCGTTTGAGTAAAGCAATGGGAAATATAAAACGATGTTTTCTTTAGTAGTTTGTTTAGATAACCTCGTTACCTATGAACTATTAAAGCCCTCGGTCATTAAAATCACTTAATTACCTCGGAACGAGTAACTAACCCTTACTAAAATAAATAAATGAGTTGATTTTTTAAACTATTATCGAAATTTTGCGAAACTTTGCTCCTGTTGACGCAGGCTATTCACTTGACCGTGGGATTTGTGAGAAAATATTATGTACATCCGTATGATGATGATGGTGATGATAATGGTGATGATGATGATGATGATGATG